CGTCCCCCACGAGCTGCCGTCGTACAGCTCCACGCGGCCCTCGCAGCCGTTCCTGCCGCCCGACAGCCGCACGCTGGGCCCTGGCACACGGCACACGGCACAACATCAGGTTTCCAACACCCCAGCATCCACAGTCCCCACAACCTTCCCAAATGTTTTGGAGGTTTGGCCACAGTGACTTTGATTTGAGGTGGTGCAAACCTAAAGAGACCAAGGAAGGGGAGTGAGAGAACAAAGATCCCAGGTGCATGGGAGTCTGGTGCATAATGAGCAAGGGTCTGCTGGAGAATCGCATGAGAACAGCCTGGGTGTCCTGGGAGCTGCTGGGGGCATGGGGGCATTTGTCAAAAAGCCATTTTTGTACACTATGATCATGCAACATCGCCCCATACCACTCATACACCTTGCAGATGTTTGAGGCCACAGGCCCTGGCAGGGTATCCACAAGGGACTGGCCACCTCTGCTTGATGGCTGAACAGCAACAGATGTGACCTGGCATCAGGACAGACACCTGTGCCTTGGGCTGGGCTGGCAAGCACATGGGCTTGAGGGAATGGATTGTCCCCATCCTCTTGGTACTTGCTGCCCCACAGCCAGGAGCCATGGAGTGTCTGGCAGATAAGGGCTTGAACTCAGCACCACTGCAGCTGCCTTTCTGCTGAGATCAGATCCTCCCTGGCAGAAACACTCAAATGACAAGACCCATTTCAATGGGCAGAATGGACCAGCAGCACTGCAGTGAGCAGGCTTAGCTCAGCAGGCCCTCTCTCTTTTCCTCTTGTGCCAGGGTGGGGTTCACTATAAAAGTGGAAATATTCTGGGTGGGAAAGAATTACCTGTTGTGTACGGCCATTGAGCAGGAGGGGTTGGATTGGCACCTGCAAGGAAAAAGAGGGATTGAATGAAAGAGTACTAAAGGCAGCAAACTTGTGGCAGTGGATGGACATGGACAGGGACATGGACACGGACAAAGACATGGAAGTGCGAGGCTCAAGGAATAAAGGGAGGAAAGGGCATGGAAGTCTTGCCACTGCTGACATGTCCTTGGTACAGCCCATGCCATAATTCCACCAATCTACTCTTTGCAACCACATGGAGCACCTACACCTGCGAGACTGGAGAGCCTGTTCTGACCTCTCTGTACAAAACTGGGGATTTTGCATGACACATTTCAGCACCAGGCAGCAGAAGACCCCAGGCTCTCCCCTCTGCTCTGGCTCTGCATGTCTGCTTCCCAGGGAGGACACCAGACCGCATCCGGTGTGAGCTCCTGGAGAGTGGATGGACTCTGCTGGCCACCCACCTGCACAGATGACACTGGCATCCTCCATGTGCCCGCAGTTGTGCACGCCCCAGCCTCTGTGCCGGCACATCCTGAGGGAAGGCTCGTCCCCGCGGCACTGCACGTCGTCCAGGAAGATGCGGCCAGACCCCAGGCCGAAGTGTGCAGTGTCCAGTGCAGCCACGGGCTGGCCGCAGCCCAGCTGGCGGCACACCACCTGGGCATCCTGCAGGTCCCACTGGTCGTCACACACCGTCCCCCACGAGCTGCCGTCGTACAGCTCCACGCGGCCCTCGCAGCCGTTCCTGCCGCCCGACAGCCGCACGCTGGGCCCTGGCACACGGCACAAGGACAGGCTCACACCAGCTCTGCACTCTGCTCTGACCACATGGGCCACTGCTGCAATGTAATCACATAATTACAGGGGGGCAGGGGGGCTGGAATTACCTGTGGAGCTTGGCCTGGATGTGGTGGGTGCTGTAGCTGTGGATGAAAGGAAGAATTTGGTGTCAATGACAGAGCTTCCAAACAGATCAGCACATATCATGCAGATGAGGGTAGCCCACTTTCTAGGAGCCCTGCCCTATGATTCCTACATCATCCTGCAGAGCTCTTTCACTCATCTGAAATGACTGCCTTGACTTTGCTCTCTCACACACTGAACAGTGAGTGAGAGTGGACAGGGTTACCTGGTGAGCTCTCTTCCCCTCTTGCAGATGTTGCTGTAGCGGTTGTCTCTGCTGAGGTGGTTGTCTCTGCTGAGGTGGTCATCTCTGCTATGAGGGTGGTGTCCTTGATCTTCTGCCCTGTCATGGACATCCCTGCTAGGGATTCCACTGTAATTATCACAGTGGCCACAGCATTTGGTATTATAAGCAAGGCTGGATCATTAATGTCACTAGGGAGGGTGAGGCTCTGCCCAGTCATTTCCCATGGAGACACCAGCCCAAAGTGCCCTGAGTTCTTCCCCTGCCTCCCAGCTCTGTGACCCCTCAGTCCTGCTCTTTGCCACCTCTCTGAAACCCTATTCCTGCAGGCCAGGAGAGTTTGCTGCTCTCTTTGGGCAAGCAGGGCTTTTGCTTGGCACAAGCTCAGCTCACGAGGCAACAGAAAGCACCAAGGTTGCTGCTTTGCCCCACATCTACCAAGAGAGGTCAGCATGGCTGCTTCCAAGGGATGGCACCAAAATCCACCACTGGGACATGTGCCAGGGGTTAGGATCACTCTGTAAAGAGATCAGGAGCATCAAGGAGACCAGTGAGTGAGAGATGACAGGATTACCTGGTGTGGTCTCCTCTGTTCTCATAGCTGTTTCCTCTGAGGTGCTCATCAATGCTGAGGATATCATCCTTGTGGATGTGGTCATCTCTGGTGAGGTGATCCTCTCTGGTGAGGAGCTCATCTCTGCTGAGGTGGACATCGCTGGCATGCTGATCAAGTATATTGGGCTGGCTGTTCCTGCTAAGGAGGTCATTAGTGCAATGGAAGGGACATGAAAAGCAGAGCTGGACAATTAATGGGGGAAGAGGGCATGGAACTCTGTCCTGTCATTTTGGGAGTCTCCCTGCAGTGCAATCAGGTCTGGGAAGCAAGTCCAGGGGCACTAAAGAGAACAGTGAGTGACAGTGGACAGGGTTACCTCTTTTGCTCTCCTCCTCCACTAGGAAGGACGTCTCTGCTCTGGGGCCACCCACGGTGGATGTCTGCAATGGGAGTGTCACCTCCCCTGTGCTGGTTGTTAATTCAGTTGTGGCCATCTCTCCAGGGGATGTCATCTCCTCTGTGAGGACTCTTGATGCTGACATTGATGTCTCCCCTAGAGATGTCATTGGTTCTGTGGGTTCTATCCCTTCTGTGGAGGTCACCTCCAGTGATGAGGCTGTCATTTCAAATGTTGTCTCAGGTGGTGTTGGATCAGACTCTTCTGTGAAAAAAAAAGAAGAAAAACACCCCACACATAAGCACTGTGCAATGGATATGTCTGTGTGGAAGCTACAAGCCCAGATCCTCAAGGATGAAGTGAAATCAAGAGCAATTATTCTGATGGCATAGTCCTTCTTATCTGGGGTCAGTGGAGAGAGTGGAGGTGGATAACAGCCAATTTACTTTTTTTCGTGGAAGTGGTATTTCCAGATGGTAAGCAGGGTAAAGTTCTGGAGTGGCATCTGCTTCCAGCCCCAGGACTCCACAGCCCAGACACAGCCTGAGACTCTACAGGCTCCTAGCATGAACAGGGGAGCTGTGGGGCTGCTCGCAGCAGCAGGGCTTGGACCTGTCCCCATTGTGAATGAATTTCTGCAGAGGATCAGGACATCCCCAGGAACAGTCTGGGCTGTGATCTTGGGGTGGTGCTCGGTGCAAGGGCAGGAGTGGACCAGGCTGAATCATCCTTGAGCCCCATAGAAGGCACTGGAGCTATGAATGCAAACAAGAAATAAGTGCCATTTAAAAAGGGTCTGAACACGTCACACATAAATTAATACAGGTCTGGTAGTAATTTTTATTATTTTCTTCTAAGTGAAAATCACTGGTGAAGCACATCCTTCCAGCATGGATTCAGCTCTCCAGGTTCTTACTCTCTAAGGAAACATGGAAAATTGCAATATAGATCCAAAACACCTGAACAGTCCGTTGTCATCAGCTATGTCTCAGTTCATGATGAACAGTTGTTAATACATGTGGAAATAAGATACAAATAACCCACATTCTCCTAAAAAATAATGGGAAAGTAAAATGAACACAGCAAAGTGAAAGAGTAGTCCAAATGGATGCATATTTGCAAAGAAAAAAGGCATTAATGGACCTAAACAAAGGAAGACTTGAAAAATGGAAACAATGCAAAGCGAACAGTGAGCTATGACAATCTGAGCTGTGATTGTGAAATTATTATTGCCCATAACAAATCCATTAAGAATCCACCTTACCCCATTCCTCCCTGATAAACTTTGCCTATCAGATATAACTTTGCCTCTGATTTTAAATTGTTTCCTTATTGCCCCTGCCAAGTGATTAGATAGAACAATTGTCCTGCTTATCTGCAATGTATATCTGATCTTTGGGTTTTTTAATTGCTTTGCATGGGTGAGCAAGCGCAGTTTTTACATTAATGAGAAAAAACATGAGTCCATGCTGGTTCTGCAGGGTCAGTGGAGTTGAAAAACAAGATTTGGGGGGAAAAACGTGGGAGTACCTGAACAGACAACAGAAGCATCTTCATAGTGGGCACAGTTGTGGATCCTCCACCCGGTGTGATTGCAGCGCAGCAAGGACACCTCATTTCCTCCACACCTCACGTTGTCCAGCACGATGTCACCCGAGCCTTGCCCAAAGTAGGCACTTCCTAGAGCTGCAATGGCCCTGCCACATCCCACCTGCCTGCACACAACCTGGGCATTTGTGAGGTCCCAGAAGTCATCACAAACTGTCCCCGACCGTCCTCGGTAGTAGATCTCAACACGACCTTCACACTGGTGCCTTCCATTCACCAAGTAGACATATGGAGCTTTGGGAGAGAGGGCATGGGCACAAAACAGTCAGGCAAATAAGCTGGAAGGGGCTGGAAGGAGTGTCTGTTCTGCCTTTTTCCCCTGTTGTCCCTAGAAGGTGTTGCCCAGCCCAGTACTGTATGGACAGAGGTGATTTGTATCTTTTTTTATTCCTCTCTTCCAGTTCTCAAAATCAGCCACATATGTTTTATGCAAGATCCCTGCACTAAAGTTAGGCAGCAGGCTAAGCACAAGCGATTTAAGGAAGAAAAGAAATTTTTGGGGCAAGTTTAAGGACTGAGAGTCCACACATCACCAAATCCTATAGCTTATAAGAGTAACTTTAGTGGAAGAATCCTATTCTTATAAGAGTAACTTTAGTGGAAGAATCCTACAGAATGGATGATGGTCTCAACAGGATTATAAAGATTTTAATAGGATTATAAAGATTTCAATAGGCTTTATTTCTTGTATACCAGTAAAATTCTATTACCATTTGAAATAAAGAAATAACCTATCCTATATACAGCTGATTACTGCATTCATTCGGGTAAAGGCCATCTGCTTTTCAGTTTTATATGTCTTGTTTAGACATTGTGGTGTGACCAGCATGAAAATCCTGAATTTAGAGATCCATTTTTGGTGAAGAAGTTTATTAAAGGCTTTACTATCAAGTGTAAGCAAGCAAATAAATGTAACTTCAAATTTGCAGTATTTACACTCTGGAAATCAAAACATGCAGCTGCACTTGTTATATTTTACTTTGCTGCCAAGTATATATTTACCTTATTATTAAACACTAAGTCATCCAAAGCAAAACAAATTTCATAAGTTAACACCTAATTCCTTGCTATTGATCTAGAAGTACAGTCAAGATGGTGACCAAACTAAATTTGCCCTGATTTGTATGACTTTCGAAGGGCAAAGCTATAAAAGTGCCCCTTGACTTATATCTGACTTGTTCCTTCAAATATCTACTTGAACACACATATTTTTGAACCCTACTCACAGGGTTTTTGAGAGGTGAAACAGCAAACCTGGCAAAAAGTCAGAGTGGGATTAGGAAATTAAAGCCAACCTAAGCCAGTTTTATTTGCTTTCATTCAAGGCCTGTCATCACTGTGAGAGCAAAACCATCAGCTGGGGATGAAATTGGATAGGCTGAATCCTGCCTCACACTTCAAAGGTACCAAAAAGACAAAAGCCTATGATTATACAAATACAACAAATACTCTGCTCTGGGACACAGAGGCAGAGAACAGAGAGAAGAACCAGAGCAGCCAGAGTGAGATGAGTTAACACCAGAAAAGCAGGAGACAGATGGAGAGAATTGATGAGGCGAACAGTGACAATAGAAATTATCATCATGAAGCTTAAATAACTCATTAGAAAAGTCATCGCAATTATTCTAAGGTATACACAGAACTATTAACTCAAAGTCACCTAAACCACTCAGGGGATAGAAAGTGATTATGGAAGGAAAAATTCTATGATCATAAAAAAAGCTGAACTTAAAGTATTTCATCTCTCATAATTTTTAGATGTCCATCATTTAACCACAGTGCTACAGTGTGAAAACCTAACTTCATGTTATATTTTGTTAAATTGTACATGATATCAAAACCAAATAATACAAGAAATATTAAATATATAGCATATGTGTGCACATATATACTCTGGAATAAAATACACATGGAAAATAAGTAAAAAAATAAATATTTCCATAATTTTTAGATCAGATTTCTGTAACGGAAGAATATCTCATTCATTACATACTCACAGACAGTTCTTGCAGTGATACAAGGCACTTAGATGAGTAGGACCACGTGGCACCAAAATGAACTCCACAAAATGGCTCAAATAATTCTTATCATCCTCTTTGATAATTACTTCATAATTTTAGTATAACAAAACTCTGCTCTTTCATCCAATCCCCCCTTTATTCTTTTGTTCAAACCAATACCAGCCTGAATCTAATTTCTACTCTTGGAATCAACAGAGAGGACTCCAAGAAGTCTTTATAATTTTTTTATGTTCCCTGGAACAAGTCTAAGGGTTTTACCTGTTTTGGCCTCCAGAACTGCTGGACCCAACAAGAGAAGCCATGTCAAAATCATAGTGGTACCCATCTCACCAGGTGATGTTGGTAAAGAGGACCTGACAATATATAGTCTCTATTTTCTGAAGGGGAGTGGCTCTAGAGGTCTCTTTTTCTACAGCAGAACAATAAAACCACCACAGTCCTCTAATCTGAAACAAATACATGTTTGATTTGTTGTTTAATATTTTGTAACTTCCTGGGTTTTGCAAAAAGACAATATCTCAAGAGTAACATTTTCCATTGCCTGTAAGGAACTATTTATGCTATCATAGGTTTCACAATCATCTCATTGTACCAAAAAAAAGGGAGGTCCTGTCCAAAGATACCTTTCAATTCTGGCTGATGCATCTCAGTATCTTGCTTTCATGAGGAGGTATTGGGATGGTAGTGGAATCTTGAAACTTAAATGGGTTTCTTCCAGCAAAATAGCAAGACACCCTTGCCAACTAATGTGGCAGGCCTCCTTGGGGAACCATGAGTGTCCTAAAGTTTCATCAGACTTTAAATAAAATAAGATCAGACCTGGTGGCTTTGTTTAAGTATGACTGGGGGGGATCTCTGAAGAACCTTGCAGTTGAAGTCAACAGCTCCAGCCCCAGTATAAATCTATTCTTTTGGGGCACATTTAAGTACAAGTCAAAATTCCAGTCAAAATTCACTGACAGATTGCAAGGAAGTGTCAGAGAATCAGGGTCAACTGATAAATTTTTTGTGCAAACACTGTGGAAAAAATCAGTGGATTTCATGCCTAGTGAAGAAAATTGCATAGATTGAAACTGATTTTGTTCTAAAATTTCATTTGATCCTTTGAACCAACATATAGCGGAAAAAAAGTTCTGATTTCTTCAGATTAGGGAAATGTCTTAATATATTCCTTGTTTAATTTTACATAATGACAGTTACATCTGTATCATTCTTTGAAGAATGAATCCAAGGTTTTTCCACAATATGAAATAATGCTTCATTCTCATTCATCACTATCTTGCCAGAGTTGTTACTTTCCTCTGTTTCTGTTTCTGACAATTTAAGAAGAAACTCTGATGATCATCCTAGTACTGAAGAGGCAAAACATTGTTCTCCATCTCATCCCTACCTCCACAACCACCATGTCTTGAATGGAATTATCACCAGTTAAAATTGTTGCCATATATTAATTTATTTTCTCCAAGGACAGTCATCAAACAGGAATACCAAAGCCCAAGGGGAAAAGAGAATGATCAAAAACATCTTTCCACAAAGGCCAATATCATTGGAATGGAAGAAGGAAGTGAAAAATATAAGAAGCCAAAGATAACTTTGGAAGCCTTGAAAGTGAACATTCAGAATGGTAAATATGTTTCTTCTTTATCCAAACAACCACATTTGCACATGAATGAGGATGTGTACACAACACCTGGTATTCACTATTCATATTCTGGTTTTGACACCCTGACAAGAATGAAAAATCCAGTTTATTTGATTGGCCAACCAACACTGCAATCAGTGAAGCAAGAGTGAGTGATGGATCACAGCTCTTCTCCAAACCCTTGTAATAGCTGAAAAAGGGTGAGGAGGAAGGGGAACACAACAGGAATTCCCAGGTGGTTCAAGTGTAAAAAAAAAGTCTTAAGATGACCAGGTAAAAGATCAAGATTGATTGTTTGATTAGTTCTTCATTATCTTCTTCATAAATAAATTATTAATTTCAAAAATCTAGATATCTTCTAGAGATCTTAATATTATCAATCTCTTCACAATGGAAATAAATAAATAATTTGTTTTAATTAACCTTAGTTAATTAGTGCAAATACCAAACAGTATTTCACCCTTCCCACTGGACAGATAAATCTCTTGAAGTAAGACATTTTTATTCTCAAGGTCTTCTGGTAGCTTGAGGTATTTCCCAGCACATCACTCTGAATGAAGCTGCACTGAGCCTTGAAAACACAATTTCTTCTGCTGGCAATTGTGAGGGCACTTTGCAAACATACTGCATTTTTAAAGATAAAAATGGAAACCAGTGAAAGGACAAACAAAATTAAGAAGCTTTCACCCATGACTATAGGAAATTATCTCCAGTGGAGTAAGGATATCCACAGGCTTCTCCACAAAGGAGTGATAGTCTGAATCCAGGCAGGAAGGTCTGTGGCAGAGATTATTCACCAGGCACATGACCCTTTCCTCCACATCAAACCCAGTTTTCTTGAATCCTGCATTTCTATAATGCTCATGGATCACGGGAGATAGAAAGAAATGAGGGAGGAGTCTGAAACATCTACCACCTGAACAGTTTGGCAACGCTTTCTGCAGCAATATTTAATATGGAAACCAGTGGACTTGGTAATTCTACCTTGTATTTTTACCCAGCCTTGGTATTTCTCCATCTGTGAGCCCTGGCACAGACATGCTATGGGAAAACTCAGCTCTGAACAGCACAGGGATGGTAAGGATTGGAGACACCAGGATCTAAGCTTGGGATCTTTCTGCTTGTCTGGTGAAAATAATATTGAGAGAATAGAAGAAGCGTAAAAATGTGCCATCAAGCTGCACCTTGCAAAAGAGTGTGGTAGCAACACCACAGCAGCAGGAAGAGGGGATGGAGGATACAGCAGATCAGAGAAGAGAGAGAGGAAGGTCCTGTTCTTGAGAGCTGGGAAAGCCCAGGTCCAGGGTGAGCAGATGGCTGGATTCTTCTGAGCCTGGACAATCTCTGAGAACAGGTGAAGGCAGGCCAGCTTCCTGAGGTGCTCTGCCCTCCACATGTGGCTGCAGGCAGAGGGGGAAGGAGAACCCTAAATCCTTGTTCCTCAAGTGTGGAAAAACCTCTCCCTTTCTGTGTGCAGTGCCAGCCCCTACCTGTGTAATCCCTTCTTTACATCATGGAGAGGTGATGAGAGCCCTGACTGGGATCATGAGAAGGCAGCTTGAAGGAACAAATGGTACAGGCTGTGCTGCTGGTTCCCATCAGAGCTGCCCATATCCTCCTTGTCAGGTCAGGATGTCACCCAAGAGTACAGCTCACCTTCCTCACACGTCACCACTTTGGCTCACCTTGCACATCTGACATTGCTCACTTCCAAATGAACTTATCTTTTTCACAGCTGGCTGGAAAACAGGAATGTAAGAAGGACATTTCTCAATCAATACCAGTGACCTTTCCACCTGTATTAAGCAGCTTCTTCCAAATAAATTCTTCCTTTTTGTTGTTTTTTATTTTGTTTTCACATGGAGAGAGATCACACTTCCTCATGGGAACTTATGTACATTCTCTCCCTCCCACCCATTCCAGGTGTAGAAATGTGTGAAAGCAAGAGCAGGAATCATTGCTTGACAAAATCACTTTGTCAGAAGCCACGTTCTCCCAGCCCATGGCTAGTGTTAGCCATGAGTTCACACATACAAGTGGGATGTTTGCAAGTACACAAAAAAAAAAGGTATTGCTCAAAACCCATTTTCTTTCCTGTTGTTTTTAATTACATATTTAAGTAACGTGATTACATTCATCCTTCATATAAAATCCTATAAATGGCCTACATTTACTCAGAGAAATATGAATTTGGGAAGAACCAATCTGCCCAAAGTCAGGATTGCTGTACAGCAATAATTCTTCACGTGCAGCCCCTGAGCATATTTGCTTATGGCTCATTATTGAGATTTTTTACTGCAAATAAACATTTTTCTTGTACTTCTTCCCAGTGTTATCTATGGTGCTACACAGGTGTTTCATCTGCATATCAGCAAGGGCCAAATAAGTCAGTTCTTGTTTCTCAAGTCACCTATTTCAGTCTTCCCAGACAGTCACTCAATGAGGAGTACAACAGAAAAGCTTTGAAATGTCCAGCACTGAAGATGCTTATTTGGATGCTGGGGTGAAAGAATCAAGCCTTCTTTACACCTTAGGTTTTAAAATCAGATTGCTGTATAAATTCAGTTCATGGTAACATCAGGTGTAATCTTGATTCTCCAAACATGGTCTGGATGGTGGAATAGCCAAGTAAGAGCTGCCTTTCACACTGATTGCAAACCCAAATAATGAAGTAGGTGGCTGGTGAAAATATCCTTCCACCTCCATGCCTGGAGCTGCCTCAGAATTTCTGGTATGGGATGGCCTCCTGCAGTTTTCTCTTCCAAAGAAATCCTCCCACTGTGAGAACAGCAGCTACCAGCACCAGGGTAGTCACAGCCAGAGGAACGTGGGAGCTGGCAGCGGGCTCTGAGCTCAGAGTCTTCCCTTTTGCCTGGATGTCAGAGGCCAGCCCTGCACATAAAAGAGTCAGAGAGAAACTGTTTTGTTTCTTTCCCCTGAGCGACTTAATTGCAAAGATAATCAGGCAAAGAGAATTTGAGTTAAAAAGCTCTAATTAGGATCTGATCAGAAAACCGCAAGTTATTTCACAAATTATTCTGTGGCCATGCAAAACAAGAAAAGATTGTGGCAAGAAATTAAAGAGAAACAGGGAGTCTGAAATAATTACACTCAAAGACCTTAAGATGTTGCTTTCTGGTAGTGGAAACAGCAGCTACAGAAAACTGAGAAACAGCATTTCCAAGAGGACCTAGAGATTGATTGTAAATAAATAACAGACATGGAAATTAAGCACAGACAGCTTTGGAAAAAAAAAAAAAAACAAAATAGTTACATCTTATCCCTTTCCCCATAGAACTTAATCAATTGCCATTTGATATGTGCAGAACAAAGAATGGATCTAAGGTATGATAGAAAAGAAAGAGCTTGTACATCTAATAGAACTATTTTATATAGATTAAAAATAATAATCCCCCCTAATAATTATAATAGAATTGTCAATAAACCAGCAAAGCACATTTCAGAGCTGGATTTCCTGTCTGAACTGAAATGCAAACAGACAGTAACACACAGAGTCTTACGTTATTAAAGATATTTAATCTTACCAATGTTCCTGTTCTCAGCGCGAGCTTCCCGAAGCTGCACGGGTCCAACAACAACATTCACTTGCTGGTGGGAAGAATCTGCATTCCTCTTGAACCTGCTAGCACAGCCCTGGTAGCAGCGGGAGGAGTAGTCGTGGTACCTGCACACCAGCAGCTCGCAGCGCAGGAACACCGCCGGGAATCGGTTCACGAAGGAGAAGGCGCTAAACCCAAACCGAGCGACATCGCCGCGCGGCGAGGGGAACAGAGCGTAGCTAGGGTCACTAGCACACCTGGAAGGACATAAAATAACAGATTAGCTATTAACTCACAGCTCCGCTTGAGTAGAAACACTATTACAACCTCTCTTTGCAACGAGTTTCAAGGTTAAATATAAAACCAGGAAGAAAAAGAGAATTCAAAAGGCTTAAAAAAGAAAACGTTCTTTTAGCAAGAAGAGAAATTACTAAATATGCACAGCACAGAAATTTCATAGCTTAGCAAGTTCTGTGAAAATATGAATTGCTGAAAAATGGCTGGTTCTGCTGGTTTCTGTGTTTCAGGTGAGAGCCTGTTATGCATTTGCAAACATGATTTTTCTGTTTGAAAAGAGGCCCTTAAAAGTTGTTGCAGAAAGTTCTCCTTTATGCTCTGGAAGCATGAAACTAATTTTAATACACTTCTCTTTAGTGTTTCAATATACTTTGGTATAAATTTAGGCAAAGTGTTTTAGGTTTCTGCAACAGTAAGAAGAAGCTAAGGAATTTCTCTTCTTTTTGGGTAGACAGTTTTGTCTTCAGTTATGATGCTGTAAAACTCATGAAGTACAGAAATGTAGAGCTGTGGACATCCCTCCCTTTCAAATGTCTATTTCAGAAACAAAGTTAGACCTCCATTTCCTCACTGACTCTTGAGTGAAATCTCAGTGCTTGATTGTAGCTTCTGAATGGCATTTGGTTGCCATTCTGAATTTTACTCAGGCTTTGCCAAAAAGTTGTTCTTAGAAGAACATTTGCCCTGAGAATTACAGCCAATGTACGCGGGTGCTAAATCACCTCATTTCACAAAATAAGCTCTTTAGAACACATAGAGACACTTTTAAAGCAGTTTTTTACAACGTTCTTACCCACTTTTGGTCAATTCATAGACCAGTGTTCTAAAATCACTAGAATTAGGTGACGCCACACACGTGTCCACAAACACGGTCAGATTTTGGTCAGAGCTGTGAAGAGAAGCTTGGAGGAACAAATTCTGGTTCATGTCAACATAGTATGGGAAGTCATACACTGGCCACTGGAAAGTTGAGGAGTTGTAGAACATCAGGCTCACGTTGTATCTGCCATACTGGGTTTTGTTGACATCAATGATATCATCAGCAATGTACAGGACTTGAACCCAGGTGTTCTGCAGCATTTTGCAGCTGATGTGCAAGTGAAGATCCTTTTGCCTCTTGATGATTCTGCCAGGAGCAGGCACTTTTATCACGTTGGAGTAGGTGATGGTTTCATTGTTGCCCTGCTTGACACATTAAATGAGGGTTAAATTACCACATGTGGTCATGTTCACTGCAAATACTGTGGGCATTATGAACTTCTGTGTGTGCCAGGTCCTGGCAGTCAGAAAGAACATGTCACAATGAAAAATCCCAAGCATCCAGGATGGGATAGCTCACTTAACTCTCCCCTTTATTTCTGTTCTCTAGAACATCATTCTGAAGTAGGTACAGGGATATAAGTACCCTGGGAAGGATAAGTAAAAATATTTAACTGGGAAGGATAAGTAAAAATATTTAACCACATTCAGCCTCCAGAAACTCATTTTCTGTGTTTTGCATGCCTGTGGCCTACAACACGCTTTGCAACCCATGACAATTTTCCAAATGTCTGTTAAATTCCGATGCCCAGAGCTATCCCAAATGTCTTGACACCAACCTGTCTATGTGTACCACAGTCACTGTATGAGACGTTGAATATAACCTCAGTTGATGTAATTTTTGGTCTACACTGAGGGTCTGCCAGGCTGATGCTCCCCACTGAGTAGCCCTGGGACTGGAGGTAGTGTCTGTCTACCACTGCTCTCATGTAGGTTGGCAAGCACAGAAGGGCTAGGGGAAAAAAAAATATGAATTATTAGTGATTTTGGGTACTTGATAATGCTTTCATATTGCAAGTCCAACAGAGGCAATCACTGCTACCATTTAGAGAAGAGAATTCATAAGCCACACCACTTATATTTATACTTGAGACTTAGATATGAGTAAGCAATAGGACAGTACTGGAACAGGTCACCCAAAGCAGTAGCTTTAAATATTTAATCCTTTGAATATTTCTAGATACGTAGCTAGACCAGTTCTTAATGGACCTGACCTGGTGTTAGCAGTAGCTCTGTTTTGAATAGTTAGCCTAGGAAATCTCCAAAAGTTCTTTCTAACCAACATTTCTATGACTCTGTGAAAGTTTGTCCAGAAAGGTACAAAAATATATATGAATTATGATGTGATACAAAGAAAATAAGAGTTTAGAAAATGAAATAGAAAGCACCTAAAGGCAAATAAAATTAATATTTTTAAAGAAGAAAAAGTAGGTATTCTCTAAAAGTGAGCAGTCAATATTCAGTCACAAAATTCAAGTAAGAATATCACCTATGTGGGATTCCTTCAACAACATTAACAAGTACTTATTTAGTAAAAAAACAATGTATAAAATCTTCTGAGCAAAGAAAACATTACCAAAAGAACAGAATTACAAATAGAATGGACATTTACTGGTGTTCTGGTCTGCTGGAAAAGACTGATACTGAGCCCGAAAACTTCCACTGGAATATCTGGAGTCACTGTAAAACCTCACAGACATGAAGTTTGAAGATGAGGTATATGTGAGATGAGAACTAGAACAAATTCTTCCAAGTAGAGGAGAAGACTGGGGTGGCCCATCATAGATCTCAATATAGTCATTCTGGCATCCACCTTGCAACCTGAGGAAGAAATGAGAATATATTAAAAAAATTCATTTGCTAAACTTTGGGGTTTAAATGCTGAACAAACAATATACCTGGATTCTGCACTCACACATTTCCCATATGTTTAGCATTCACTTATAGGATGGGAAATGTGCCCAGGGACTGCGGATGCAGTTGAGATTTAGAATTTTTTTATTGCCCAAGCAGAAGGTGGTTTACTTACTGAATGTTATCAAATGTGAGCGCAATGAGGAAATTGTTTGTTACATGTATTTGCCACAAACAATCTGCTTTATCTGAAGGATTCAAAGAAGGACTCTGAAATGTTCCAGAGGACTTAAAAAGTATATCGCCACAAATAATTTTTTGACCTGAAAAAGGAAAAAAAAAAAAAAGAAAATAAGGGATAGAAGTGATTAATTTACATTTCCTTCAGATCAAATAAAAATATGTTCTATATACAGAAGCCATGGCAACACAACTTTAAATCTCAAAAGAAACATAATGATTGTGCTCCTCTCAGGGTACAAGAGTGATGAACTCTTCAGAGAATTATGACCCATGCTTGTAGTTATTAACTCTGTGGGCTTCAGGCACAAAGATATGAAATAAAGTAAAAGGTGGTGGCCTAAATACCATAAAATCAGAGAATTAACAAAATAAAATCTCACATGTAATCAGCATACTCTGAAACCCACCCAAGCTCAAACACAAAAGACTACTGTATAGAATATAAAGAATTAAAACCAGAAAGGATTTTCCCCAATGCATTATATAATACAAATGAAACAGCTTACACGTGCAAAACAGTAATTATGACACTTCAAGAGAAATAGATCAGAGAAATGGGAAAAAACATATAAAAATACAAACCTGGAGGATTTGTAAACGGGGCTGTGCTTTTGGCAGCTTAATGAGACAAAGAAAAAGAAGCAGGTGAAGTGCTGGAGGATGAGGGAGCATGGCATTAATTGTTTCTGCAAAAAG